TCCAATAACCCAACAATCCAATAACCCAACAATCCAATAGCCCAACAATCCAACAATCCAACAATCCAAACCCAAATATCCAACGATCCGACAATCCGACAATCTAAAAACCCAACAATCCAACAATCCAACAATCCAAACCCAAATATCCAACGATCCGACAATCCGACAATCTAAAAACCCAACAACCCAACAACCCAACAATCCAACCCAAATATCCAATGATCCAAAACCCAACTATTCAACAAAAATCAAGAGTCCAATAATCAAATACAAACAATTTAGCCAACCAACAAGCTGCAAACTGGCCAAAATCAAAACTTGTTTTATTATAAAATAGTTATAACATATGGCAATTTCATAATCAGTTCGGAAAGATCTATAAATAGTTTGCTTTGTTAATAAAATATGTTAGTATATGAGTTTAAAGAGTTTTTTATCAAAATAAAGGATACCTACGTTTATTTTGAATCACTATGGTTTTACATATGGATTACTAGTAATACATCTACAACTACCTAAAATAAATAAATTTATTTTGTTAATATTGGCAACATTTCTTTTATTTTTAAAAAAAATTTAGCTATATTTTTCATATTCCCAAGTGGAAACAAAATAACTAATTCTAAAAAACCTTTGTGCTGTTGCCTAAAATTCACATAAAATCTCTTTGCTACAAAGAGATATCTATTGGATTTGGATAAGCAAAGCTGAATGGAATTGTTACTGGTGCTGTATTTTTGGTTTGAGTATTAGCTGATACTCTTTCTAAAATCTTTGCAGGAGTGGTAACAATAGTTTCACCCAAGCCACCACTTAAATACAAAATTGGGAGTTAATTTACACATCCAGATGGACCCAGTGAAACTATTTAAAAACATCCATATTTGATACTATTATATCTATGTAGATTGAAACCTTGTTTTGGACTCCTTGGGTTGTTTTTAGATACTGGTAAAATGATTGTAAATGTTTTCTTTAATAACCTATTATTTATAAAAAGAGAAATAAAAATAAAAAAATACTAAAAATTACATTAGTCCCATTATTGAATGTCTCATAATTTTTGGAGCATATTAAATAAAGATTTAACATCAGATTCACTTGAAACACTTTTGTCAGTTGACTTGTAAAAATATTTTAAATTTTATCCGGATACCTTTCATCGCCAACTAAAATTGGTAATGATAGTGCTAATGATGGTACACGTGACAATGTTGATGCTGCTGATGCTGATGATAATGTTGGTGTTGGTGGTACTGGCGGCTTTCCTTTAAAGCTTTTCTCGTTGTCACGGTCGTCACTATAAGAAAATACTGCCATAGAACCTGATTATTTGTATTTGTTTATTTATAAAATAAAACAATTAAAACACTATTATAATTAAATAACTTTAAAAATGTAGTATAGTAAACCAACTTACCAATAAACAAAAAACTATCGAGTCTATAAAATGCTAATTATTGTGGTCCATTATAGTAAAAAATAAAAAAATCATTGTTAATAACTGAAAAATAATCTTTTATATTATTTATTTTCTCTGATCCTACCTTCTCTGTAATAGAAATGTTTGTGATTAATAACTCGGATTATAGATTATTAATCACCACCAAAGTGTATATTTATGATGTGTATTTTTTGAACCTGTGGTTTTTTTTATAAAAAAAAAAAATTAATAATAGTTTTTATGGCGGTTAAAAAAAAATGAAATTATAAGTAAATTATTGTTTTGTTTTTTTTCTTTAACTATTGACATTGTAGTTATTTCTAAAATTGATTAGAGAAGGTTTTTTGGAATAATATTATTTTAATTTTATTCCCTAACCTATTTATCATTATTGATTCTTTGATTGATTTTATATTTGTATAAAATTCAAAATAATAACTGAACTTTAAAAAAATATGAAATACATACCTGTAGTTTTTTAAAAATAAAGATTGATTTCCATATTCGAGTTCCTATTTTTCCTATTGATTTAAACTATCTAATTTTAATACTAAGGAACTTCAATTATTTCTTTGGATATATAGTACTGAACGGATCCGTTTTTATTATTAATATATTGTTATTTATTATTTATGGTATTATTATTTCATATCTTTTATTGATTTAAAATCTAGAACAATATGTGAAATGTAATATCTTTGATTAAATAACACGCTAAAATAATTGTTTATTATAATAATAATTATAATAATAATAATATGTGTAATGTGGGTTTGTGGATAATTAATTTTTTAAATAAAAAACAAAATATTGAATCAAAAAAAAAATTGAAATTTGTTTTTTTTTTTTTAGAAAATTAATTTACCAAAATTTTTTTTTTTTTTTTTTTGGGGAAGATGCTATTAATAGGTCGCAAAAAAAAAAAAAGTCATTTAACGCATTTAAAAAAAAAATATTTCGTCAAGCGAGTAAAAATATCGTCATTATTTAAAATTGAAAAAAAAAAATAAAAAAAATAGATAATTTTTTCCCAAAGAATATTTTAATATTATAATTATAAATAAATAAATTTAAATTTAAAAAAGGAGTATATCTTTCCATTTATATTTTTATTTCCCCATAGGGATTAATTATTTTATAATTTAAAAAAAAAAAATAAAAAATAATTTAAAATAATTAAAAAAAAAAAAAAAAAAAAAAAAAAAATTATTTTTTATTTATTTATTTATTTTTTTTATTTTTTTTATTGATATTTCCATTGTTTTAATTTGTTCAAAAATATTACACAACAATTTGATGCTATAGAAATAAGGAACAAATATCTATATTTTCTATTGTACCCAAAAGACCAGCAGCTCAATAATTAAACACTTTTGTTTTTTGTCGAATCAAATTCATTTAAAGATTTGATTGTCCTATTTAAAATCTCTGGGAAAATTGGTTTAAGGTAGCGATGGGCATTTGTTTGGCTATCTTTTATTTTTTGATTTTTTATTTTTTTACTTATTTGGGTGATTCATTTAACTTATTGACAAGATGTTCAATTTCAAAATGAATTATATAAGGTTGGGATTTAAATTATCACAATTATTTTTTAATTTTATTGTTTATTTTGGAATTAATTACCTTCAATAGTTTTGTACAGCTTTTGATTTTTTCTTTTGGTTTCGGGGATTTAGTTATTGTATAAAAAAGATGAAACGTTTATTTTGAAAAAAATAAAAACAAAACCCACTTAATTCCAATTTTTTTTTTTTAAAAAAAAAAAAAAAAGAATCACAATCATGGTTTATATATATATTTTTTTGTTTTTCATAGAAATTACGTTTTTTTTTACTTTTTTAATATTTTTTTATAATTTTCTTTAATAAAAATAAATAATTATTATAGCAATATAAATAAAATAATAAAACTTATAAATAAAATATGAATTAATTAATAAAAAAAATATAATAACAATAATAATAAAAACAAAAAAATAATCATATAAAAAATAATAATATTATACTAATTTAATAAAAGAAATAATTTTATATTAGCTATGTTTCAAAGATTATTGTGATATTCATTCAACCAAATAGAAAAACATGGTATGATAACAACTTAAAAGAAAATAGAACCATCAGTTTTAACCAAGATAATGGTGAAAAAATGATCAATTTAAAAATATAATGTTGCAAAATTATAATAGGTTGGTTAAAGAAACTGATGTCCATAAATTAAAAGTAGATTTAATAAACCTACTCATATTTTCTATGGATACTGGAGGAAGAGATGTTTGTTATGATTCACAAAAGGGATATTTATATAACACTACCACCCGTTTTGATTTTTAGTTGTAAATACAAGGTCCTATAATAGAAAACAAGGTCCCCACTATTATAACCAGGTGCCAAAAAACTTTTGGAAACTATCATGCTTTCAGAAACAATTCCAAACCATTGGTATGTATTCACATTCTATACAATAGTATATTTCATATATTTTTATTAATTCTTTAATTATTTTTTTAATTAAGATGGAAATATTTTTATTTTAAAGAAAAATTTGGTTTAAATAATTATCAAATTGATAGAGAGACTAATAATATTTATATTCTCACCAAAACATTAAGATTCAGGTCAAAGATTTATCACCAAAGACAAGAACCAAACTTAAAAAAATTAATAGAGGAATTTGTTATTAAAAAATAAGTCTTTCACAATATAACTATCTATTGCACTTAGAAAAATTAAAAAAGATTTCTTGGAAGGAATTTTTATAATATGTAAATATAAAATTAACAATAAATATAGTTTTATAATATTAATATATTTTTTTTATTATATTATTAAATAGTTGCTGGTGCAGGAAGTTTCTCTCGTAACTCACCTGGTGCTCCAACTTCCTACACCACCAAAAGAATCGCCAATTTAGTTGATTTAACAATTGATGAACGTCTTACCTCAAAGATGTCCAAGTTTAACCAACTAATTATAAAGTGAATATCTATTTTTATGATTTCATTTTATTTAGTTTCTGAAAATAAAAAAGAAAGGTAAAGGTTTTTTCAAAGTTTAATTAATACTAATTTTAAACAGAAAAATAGGTATGGACTTTTATAAAAAACTACAAAAGATAATATGAAAATAAATAAAAAAATTTTAAAAAATTATGAAAGAAAATTTAAAGTTTTTTAATAAAATTTAATATTTATTTATTTAATTTAATTAAACCAGTTAATACATTTTATATTTTCTTATAGTTTTGTTTCAAATGGGATAGTAGTTGATTATATTCATCGTTGGTGTTGTCAATATCGTCATTGATAAGATTATTTTGATAGAGTTTTTTGAGAAAGATGATAAAATATTTATCTATGGCTTTATTAATTTTTTCGAAGGTTTTAATAGAGTATTATTTGGATAAGTGTTAAGGAGGATTTAGATTGAATGGTATTTTGTATAGTTCGATTATAAATGAGAGCTTAATTTCGCTGTTATTGCCAAATCTATTTCTTTAAAAATTAATTGTCCTCAGGGTATCTATTATTGTTTAGATCTAATGCCGGAGGGATATTATGAACACACCGAAAAATATATCCTTTTAACCAATCTATTTAATGGTTGTGAAGTTTTAACCACAGTATTCGCAATATCAGTGAACTTCTATCAGTTCACATCATCAAGCTATTAATTAACAAATTTCATTATAATGCAGATCTTGAAAACAAATTATCAAATTATACCAGTATATTTTTAGAAGTTGAAAAGCTTAAAGCCAATAAAAACTGTCATACTCCTTGGCTGTTTTACAGAGGACAATTAATGTTGATGAAATATTCGATGGTTTCGATGATTTGTTAAATATCTTGATCTGATAGTGGTCTATTTGGTTCCCTGTAAACTACAATCTTTGGTAAGTTCAAATATTGACTCTAATTGTTCTAAATTGAATGCTTGTATGGCATTCTTGAGTGGTATTTCCAAAACAGCATCGTCTATGAGTTTAGTTTCGATGACATTCTTTAGTGGTTGTTCGAAAACATTTATATTTGCCAAAGTTAAGATATTTTAAAACAAGTTGTAATACCCTATCAGGTTGAAAATAATCTTTATATTTACTGTTATAATAGATATTGTTTATTATTTCATTTTTAATTTTATTTTGGAAAAATTTATAAATTTTTTTGTTTTTTGTTGAATTTAAAATATTATTATTAGTTTCGAGTGTTTTATTGTTTCCATTATTATTGTTATTATAATTGATGTTGTTGCTATTGTTATTATTATTTATATTATAAAATGAAATTATTACTATTTTAATTTTGAATTTGTTGAAAATTCAATGAAATAACATAACATTGACGGAATAACTGGATGAGAGTTTAGTCCATTAAGTATATTTTGAATAAAATCCTCATCAAATATTTCTAAGGACACATAAAATATATTATTGGGTTGGTCACGATATCTAAATAATGTTATAAATACAAGTGTATTTCAATAAATGATATAGTTTTTTGTCCAGTAGAAAATTTAATGAATCTTTCATTTTTGAACATCGTTTATACTATTATATTTAAAAATTCAACTGAATGAATTAAAATATTTTATTAAATAAATATTTATTATGAAAAACTAGATAAATAATTCAGAGGTTTTTTGATAATAGTTGTTATTGTTATTATTATTACTGCTGTTATTCATGGTGTGATGTGTAAAAAAAAAAAAATTAAAAATGAAAATTAATTTAATAAAAAAATTATTTTTTTTAATAAATTTTAAAAAAAGTGTAGAAATAAAAAACTATCTTTTTTTTCCTTAATCCTAGAGATTAAAACTATAGTTTGTTCAAAATAAATAATTTCAATAAATACCATCATTAATTTTTTTGAAAAAAAAAGAATTATCTTTATTTTTAAAGAAAAAGCGGACTGGTAAAAAAAGGTCAAAATTAATCATTAATTGTATTATTGGATCAAACTTTTTCTAAAGTATTTTTAGTTTTTATTGTTTTGGGAAATCAAATTATCATAATGAAAGATGTTATCTAATTTATTGATACTGATTGTAAAGTTTTTTCTAGATTATTTCTCCGAAACACATAGTTCAAACATTTAAAAAAATGATTTGGTAGTACTTTATGAGGAATGTAACGATCATTTTGTTTATTTATTTGTTTTAAAATTATTATTCCCCCAAAAAAATAAAATAAATAAAAAAAAAAAAATAAATATAAAATAAATAAAAATAAATAAAAAAATAAATAAAAAAATAGATAATTATTTCCAAAAGAATAAGTTCACCGTTTTTTTTATTTGCAAAAAAATAAAATTGTATAGAAATAAAAAAAATGTGGTTGGACGTGTTATAAATAAATAAATTTAAAAAAAGGAGTGCATAAATCTATTCACCATAGGGATTAGTTATTTTATTATAATTTAAAAAAAAAAATAAAAAAAATAAAAAATAATTTAAAATAATTAAAAAAAAAATTTTATTTTTTTTTTATTTTTTGATTTATTTTTTTTTATTTTTTTTTTTTGATATTTCTATTGCAACAAAATCAATATTATTTTTTTTTACAAAAGATATAGATATATATAATTTTTAAATATCAATTAAATGCACATATAATAAAATATTTTCATTTCGTTTCATTTCATTTCACTCTTTTTTTTGTTTTTATTTTACTTATCCAATATTAGCAGTAATAAATAACCAGTTTTTTTTGATCACAAAAAAAAGAGAAACAATCCAAAGGTAAATATTAAAAACAAATATGACATTATAAATAATCTAGCTAGTATTTAAAATATCAAAATAAACTATTTCTGTCATCTCAATCATCATCGCCATCATCACCAAAAATGTTTGTTCATAACCATATATTTTAAAAAAAAAAAAAAAAAAAAAAAAAAAAAAAACAGTACTATTTATTTTCACATAATAGAAACCAACACACACACAAATTGTAGTTAAATCAATTTAAACCCTTTATTGTTTTTGTTGTTTGGTTTTTGTTTGTGTGAATTAGATAAACCAATTATAATAATATGGTTGATATAAAAACAAAAAAGATAAAATAATACCCCGCACCACACAATAACCACAGCATAAATACAATCATCAAAATTTTATATTGCTGTTAAACCCTATTATTAGTTATTTTTAAAAGATGTGTGTCAAGAATAATTGTTTTAAAAAATAGATAAATATTATATGTTTTTCTCTTTCACTCCTCTCATTATTATTATTATTATTATTTTCATTTCATTTCCACTCTTTCAGTTTTATTATAATATATTCAAAATTTAAATATATAATATGGAAAAATAATATTTTTTTTCAACATCTTTTTTGTACAAGATTTCTCACTCACACTAACACATTATACAAAAGCAAAACAATATAATTATAAAAATAAAATAATAACCAACACACACAATTTTATTTTTTTTATTTTTAATTTTTTTTTTTTTTTTTTTTTTTTTTTCTATTTTTTGTTATTCACCAATACACACACACAATAAACATTATTTTAAATAATTAAATTTAATTTAAAATTATTTATTTATAATAATTATTATTGTAAAAATAAAAATAAAATCGTATAACAAATATATTAAATATATAAATAATTTAATAACACTGAAACAAAGAAATTTGGTTGAATGGGTAAGAAAAATATTTTGTGTGTTAAATAAAAAGAATGGGTAATATGTGAATGTGTTTAAATAGATTATTGTGCTATATTATATTTTTTTTTTTTTTACAATGTAAAAATATTTTATTGTTTATTTATAAATAATAATAGTATTATTAATCATTATAAAATAGATAGATAGATAGATATTTTTAAAATCAAATAATAAAATAGAATATTTTTTCTATATAAATTTAATAATATATAAAGAAATACATTTGATGAAAACAATATTTACTACTGTATACCCAACAAAATATTAAATACACACGTACTACACATGCACATTATTACACATTAAAATAGTTTATTATAGCATTAGGGTATATTAACATGTAATTTTTTTTTTTATTATTAATATTTTTATAGAATAGAGTCACTTTAATTTTTTTTTACTTATAATAATAATATTTATAGAATTTTTTTTATTATTTTAATATATAATATCTATTAAAGACATCATATGAATATAATAATACAAACACAACACAAAACAAAAAATAAACTATAAATTTTGTTTTTTTCTTTTTTTTATTATTTATTTATTTATTTATTTATTTATTTATTTTTTATTTTTGTAATATAATTAATAATAAAACTTTTTAAAAATTAAAAATTATCACACTCGCTTTAAATTTTATTTTATTTTATTTTATTTTGTTTATTTTTTTAGATTAATAGTAATCATAAACTAAAAATAATATCATAAATCATAAAATCATCAAACGTACATACACATTTAACAACACAGATCACACACACACTAAATTTAATAATTTAAAAAAATCTTTTAAAATCACCTCACATAAAAATTATTTAATAAAAATAGATTAATCAAAGAATAAACAAATAAACTGATTAATGATATTAAAATTTCAATTTATATAACAGCAAAAAAGAAAAAAGTGTAGTTTAGAATTTTAATTAGAAACAACAAGATCAAAATAATATATAAAAAAAAAAAAAAGAAATGTCAAGAGTATCATGCAAACAGCCTACTAATAAAATATTGGCGAGAAAAACACTTCACGCCACTACCACACACTCTTCACCGTATGTATATTTTAAAATTATTTTTTTTAATAATGATAGTAAAGTGGGATTTTATTTAGTATACAATATTATCATTTATTTTTAATATTGTTAAAAAAACACCATAATAATAACTATTAAATTTTATATTATTAATTTAATATTTAATATTGGGTGTATAATTAATCTCTTATTTAATAATAATTGTTATTTGTTATTTTTCTTTCTTTATTTATTTATATAACAATAATTATAATTATTATTCTTATTTAACATTATAACATTATTTATTAATTAATTTTCATATTTTATTTTTTCTTTTCTTCTTTTTTTATTTTTTTCAAAAAAAAAAAAAATAAAAAAAAAAAAATTAAATAAAAAAATTCAAAAACCGCATTCTAAAAATTTTTTCAAAAAAATAATAACTAATTATTATAACTAATTACTCAACATTATACACACAAATAAATATTTTATAAAAATATCAATAAATCAATAAAAATTAAATATTTAGAATTGTTTCAAAGAATTCACACAGACATTGGTGTATAGTTAAAGTTCAATCTGTAATAAGAAGGTGGCTAGCAGTAAATAGATATAAAAAAATGTTATTGGAATTTAAAAAACAAAAAAAACAAAAGAAGCTTGAAAAAGAAAAATTAGAAAAATTAGAGAAAGAGGAACAACAAGCCTCAGCTGTTATCAATTATTCAGGTGTATGCAATGGTAGCGATAATAATAATAACAGTGGTGGTACAATTAGTGATAACGATAGTAGTATAGATGATAATGATCTTTTAAATAAAAGTATTCAATCTTCTTCCTCTTCCTCTTCTTCCTCTTCTTCTTATGGAGACATAGTTATTAATAATAATAATAATAATAATAGTAGTAATAATTTAGTAGAAATTTCGGTTCCATGTTCTTCATCACCACAATCCTCATCATTATCAACTGCATCATCATTAGACGATGATATTGGTAAATTATCAATCGACGAAAAACAATCCTCATCACCAGAACCAGAACCACAACCAGAATCTTTGACACCACCACAGCAACAAGATGAAAAAGAAGAGGCTGAACTATTGGCAGAAGAAGAAAAAGAAAAATTAGAAAAATTAGAAGAAAAAACAACCAATAATAGTAATAGCAATAATACTAGTAATACCAATAACAATAATAATAATAATAATGGAACTAATAAAAAAATACCATTAAATTCAAGATCATCATCAACTATCTCAATGTCATCGTCATTATCATCATCATCATTATCATCATCAGTATCAGATTCATCAGCATCATTATCATCATCAATTAGTTCAAGTCAAGAAAAATCATCACCACACTACCTTAGAAAGAGAACTTTAGATGAAATGTTACGTGTTGAAAGAGGTTATGTTCAAGATATGACCACATTGATCGATGTTTTTTTAAAACCATTCAGAGACGAAGAGAATTGCTTCCCAAAACACCATTTATATACCCTATTTTGTAATATTGAGGACTTAAGGGATCATCACCAACGTTTCCTCGATGATATGGAAAAGAAATTCGAGCCAACCAATGGAAAACCAGCCGATTTAAATATAGGTGATCTCTTTTTACCTTTTATGGGTAGTTTCCAAAAGCTATACGAAATTTATATAAACAATTATGAAAAAGCATTCGCATTGACCCGTTATTTCAAAATTAATCCAAATTTCCAAGAGGTTCAAAAATTAATCTATCAAAAAGAAAAAGATCCACGTTGCCGTCATTTGGATTTTAACAGTTTTTTAGTTATACCGGTCCAACGTTTACCTCGTTATATTGTATTATTAAAAGAGATTGAAAAGAATACACCAACCGATATTATGGATTACAACTTTATAGCGCTCTCTTTAGTTCAGCTTCAAGATTTAACTTTATATTTGAACGAATCCAAAAGAAAATCAAGTAATTCTGAAAAGATTGAAGATATTAAAAATACTGTATTTGCTGCCAATCCAATTATAGGACATTCAAAATATGTAATGGAAGGTCAACTATCATTATTAAAAGGTGTAGTGGCATCAACTAAAAAAGATTTATATATTTATTTATTCAAAGAGTGTATATTATGTACTGAAGTTAATCCAAATTATGGTGTCAGTAATAGTAGTAATTTAGCAAACAGTAATAGCAGTAGTAATTTGGGCAATAGTAATAATAATTCACCAACCAATTTAACACCAAAAAAGAATACATTTTTAACACTTTCAACCTCATCAAAATCATCGACCTCAACAACATCACCAGCATCCATATCACCCAACAGCACCTTAACAAATTCAGTCGCATCAAGTGTCTCATCTAGTGGTACTCCTCCAATTCACAATGGAAATTACCAAAGAATTATTTTTAAAACTATATTTTTCTCTGATGTAAAAACAATATCGTTACTCAAAAACTTTAAAGACTCTTTCCAAGTGGTTACCTCAAAGAAAGTTTACACTTTTGTTGCAACTTCTTCTGATAGAGAAAGATGGGTAAATTCTATGAATGACTGCATTTCAAATATAACACCTCCTCCATCACCAACAATGTCAAGATCCAATAGATTCTCTGTTCAATTACCAAGTTCATTATCTCCAACATTAAAAAAAAAAAATAGAAATTCTGTACAGTTATCAAATTCTCAAAATTCATAATAATATTTAAAAAAAAAAAAAAAAAAAAAAAAAAACAACTTTAATTATATTTTATATTATTTTAATATAATATAAAAATAAATTAATAGCGTAAATAATGTAAATAATAAAGTAAATAAATAAATAAATAAAATTATATTTAATTATCAATATAATAAAAACAAAATATTACTATTTATATGTATCATATTATATGTATTTAATTTAATTTCTTTGAATTGATTATTTATATATTGTAAAGATTTAAAAAATTAAATAAAAATATAACAATACAGTTTGACTGTAAAAAAAACCCCCACACACACAGGTGCACCAATAAATAAAATTAAAAAAAAACAGATGTAAGGTGTAGTTAGCAATGTATAATTAAATGTCATAATATATAATCAATATATTTTTTTTAATTTATATTTTTTATATTTTTTAATAACTGTCTTGTTTTATTCCATTATTAACTTTTTTAACCCTATTTGCACCAAATTTATCAATATTGTCATATGAAATCATTTTGGATCATATTAATTAATTTTAAAAACCTATTTTAATATCGTTAAGTCAGTATCCAATTTCTATTTTGGAACAATTGGGTGATACAAATAAATACATTCATTTTTATTGGGTAACTTTAAATAATAAATATATATAATGTTCATTTTCACTATAACCTTTATACTTTTTATTTTTATTTTTTATAGTTAACACTGATTTGGGTTAGATATAAATTTAATTTTGTTCTGGAACACAAAGAAATACATTTTTATTTTATATTTTTTTTTAATTATTATTATAAAAAGTAAAAAAAAACTATAAATTAAAAAAAATTATTTTTAATTATTCATTCAAAACAACAATCATTTATTACTCATTAAAATAAATATTATAAATTATATACTTATAAATCTTTTTTGAAAAATGAAATTATTATATTGCTTATTAATCATTTTAAATGTTATCTCTTTATCCTATGGCCAAAATAACTGTGCTACTTTCTTAAATGCTTTCCGTGATGCAAATAAGTGTTACCAAATTAGTATTGCTGGTGTCCATACTCAAAGTTTAGCTCAAGAGGGATATAAAGGTTAGTAATTTATAATATTATATAATAAAATGCTTTTTTAATATATTACTCACACATTGTATATAATATATTACAGGTAATCTTAAATTCTCCAACAATGCTTTAATTCCACAAGCTCCTTTAATTAACCTCCAAACTTATGAAACTTCATGTAATAATGGTTTGGTTCAACCATTTAATGCCCCAGATCAATTCAAAATCAGTGATTTTAGAATCAATCCAGATGGCACCCTCCGTATCAATACCAACACTGTTTCATTAACATGTAGTGGCGATGTTGCATCCTATAGATTATCAAACTTTAATTATTTTGTAGCTGTATGTTAAATTTTTTTAAATTTTATAGTTTTTAGTTTTTATTTCTAATTTTTTTTTTTAACATCTAGATAAGAGGTTATGATGCATGCCCAAAATTATATTATGGTGAAGAATGTAATACCCCAACAGTTACTCCAACAGTTACTCCAACAGTTACTCCAACCCAAACACCAAATGTACCAATTAAAATCAACTATGATTTATTTGTAGATAATCAATGGAATACCAATGGTGTTCAATTCTACCAATACAGGGTTCAAATCACCAACAATGAAAACACCGCCATTAAAGCTATTCAAGTTCATTCAAATAATTGGAACCCAACTGAAGTTTGGAACATGATCAAATTATCTAATGGTGATTTATCATTCCCAGAATTTGTTTCATCCATTCCAGTAGGTGGTACACATTCATTTGGTTTTGTTTCTGCTACTGTTTCACCAACCTTCTCTACTGTTTCAATCACCAGGGTTTAAATTTAAATTTATCTTTTAAATTATTTATTTATTTATTTATTTTAATTTAATTATATTTTAAAATAAAATATTAAACAGCTATCTATTTAAAAATATTTCTTTTTCAAATTTATTTTTTAAAAAAAAAAACACATAAATTAACCCCTCCCCCCTCTAAAAATAATAATGTTTTCTCTTTTAGGGAATTTAAACTTTTTTTTTATTTATTATATATATATATTATATTATAATTTTTTTATTTATTATATTATATTATAATTTTTTTTTTTATTATTAAATTTATTTTTTAAGTTTTATTTCTTTGTTTTTCTTTATTTTTTTTTTTTTTATCTATAAAATTTATATTTGATTTATAACACATTTATTATTTAAAAAAAAAGATAAATTTAAATAATATTTAAAATTTTTTTTTTTTTATTTTTGTAATTTTTTAAATTACACACTTTTTTTTTTATTTTTTTTTTTTTATTGTATCAGGTAAAAAAATGATAATAAGAAAGGGTATAATAATTATATCAATAACAGCCCTTATTATTTTTATTGTAGGATTTAAAACCACATCAAGCTTTCAAACCGATACAATCGCTTCAAATAATAAACAAAATATTTTTAAAAATCATGACAGTTTTCAACAACATAATAATATAATAAAAACCAATGATCAACAAAGTGGCAACAACAATAACAATAATGATATAAATAATAATATCAATATAATTAAAAAAGAAGGTGCAATTGATGAAAATTATGATAAATACAAGGATATTGGTGATAGTTCAATTGAAAATAGTGAAAATTATAGTTTCAATCAAAAAAATTTTAATATAGATAATTTTGATAGTAAAGAAATTAATGAAGTGGGAAAACTTCAAAATATTATAAATAAATTAAATAAAATAAATGAAAATAATACAGAAATTAGAAATCATAAACAAAAATTACCAAGATTTAATAAATCAAATAATCCTTTTAATAAAATAGATATGGTATATAATAAAAATAAAAATAAAAATAAAGAAAGAGCGGAGCAAATTAAACAATCAATGAAATTTGCATGGGATTCATATAAGAATGGTGCCTGGGGTCATGACGAATGGGTGCCACTGGAAAATAAACATAGCGATTGGTTAGGAGGTCTAGGTTTAACAATTGTTGACTCTATTGATACTCTATATTTAATGGGTTTAGAAAAAGAATACAATGAAGCTAAAGATTGGATTTCACAACTATTGTTAAGCAAATCAAAAGTTCGTTTAATATTTAATTTATTAATTTTAAAATAACTTTTAATTTTTAATTTATATTTTCTACTTTTAAAATATAGAGCAAGGTATCAGTTTTTGAAGTTAATATTAGATATTTAGGTGCTTTTTTAACAATGTATGACTATACCGGTGAAGATGTGTATTTAAACAAAGCAAAAGAATTTGGAGATTTTTTAATGAATGCATTTTCAAACAAATATCCTTTTCCAGTTAGTAATTTAAATTTAAGTAATTTCAAACCAAGTGCAACAGAAAGCAATTGTGTGGTGTTGGCTGCTTTGGGTACTATGTCCTTAGAATTTTCTCGTTTATCAGATATTACAGGTGATCCTAATTATAAAGAAAAGATTGATAGAATTATCAATGCCATGGCAAGCTTAGAAACTGATATAAAGGGTTTATATAAAACAACAATAAAGAGGGATGCATCTGGCTATTGTGACGAATTAATATCGATCGGTGGTCAAGGTGACTCGTACTACGAATATCTTTTAAAGATGTGGATATACACAGATGGGGAAGAGATAATATATAGAGATCTTTTTATAGATTCAGCGGATTCAATTATAAAAAATCTTTATAAAATAACCAAAAAAGATTTTGGTTACATTGCCAATTTAGATTATGGGTATCTAGTTGAAAGAGAGGAGCATTTAACCTGTTTTGCAGGTGGTATGTTTGCTTTAGCCGCTGCAGCAAATATTTCTGGAGATGATGAAAAAAACAATATCTATATGGAAGTAGGAAGAGAAGTAACCAAAACATGTGCCTTTAGCTATTTTAATTCTCCAGTTGGTGTGGGCCCAGAGGTCTTTGTATTTAACTCTCAAGGTGATATAAGCTTAAATGGAGGAGGTGGAAGTCCGTGGTATTTTTTAAGACCAGAAGCCTTGGAGTCTATATTTATTCTCTATCGTTTAACTGGGGACACAATGTACCAAGATTGGGGTTGGACTATTTATGAAGCTATTGAAAAAAATTGCAAGGTATCAAATGGCTATGCAGGTTATAAAGATATTATATTTGGCACCAGGGATCACGTTCAACAAAGTTTCTTTATGGCAGAAACATTAAAATACCTCTATCTACTATACAGCGATTCAAATACAGTTCCATTAGATAAATATGTATTGAATACTGAAGCACATCCATTATTAATTAAATATAAAAACTAAAAGTAATAAATGTTTTAATAAAATCATAATATATTTTATTTTATTTTATTTTATTATATTATATTATTATATTTTATTATTATTATTGTTTCTTCTTAACTCTTCAATTTCTTTTAGTTCTTTTAATTTTCCATCTACTAATTGATTTAAATTATCATCCCAGTCAATAGTTTTATTATCGGCTAATAAATCATTTAAATCTCTTTGTGATCTTGCAAATCCTATTAATCTTGGTAATAATTGTTTTTGGGTCATCATTTCACAGTTCTTTGGATCCTCGCAAAGTGGGGTAACATCAGTTTGGAAATTTAATCTCTTGAAGAATTGTAAACCTGTTTTAACTTCAATTTCGTGAAGTGGGACTTCATAGTCTGTTAAAAGAGCATTGTGTGGAATTGGCTCGTTTGGAATTAAAAAGCTACCAATTAAATATGGTTGTTTAGTTGCTGGTAATTTGCTATCGTTTGTTGGATCTAAATTATCTTTTGGTTCTACTAAAACAATTTTAAATAAATAGTTTGGTACTGCTACATTTCCTTCACCAATAACTTCATATTTTACAAATTTTTTTTCATTTTGTCTGCAATATCTAACACGGTTTTTTAATTGCTCTTCGGTTAAAATTTCGACTAAATTTGGTTGGTATACTGGTCCAGATATGATGGTGACATTTTGATATCTGTTGACCAACTCTGACTTGCAAAATGATTCTAAACGGTACCAAAAGTTTTGATTGTTGTGTAAATCTTGTGGAACGATATTTGTGTTTAAAAGGAAAGTTTGGTTCATTGCTTCTTGAGAGTGGAGATTGTCACCAGCTGGAACCATGTGACCTTTGGACCAACCTGTTCCTACATAATCTTTATTTTGTGCTTTAAATTTATCTGGTACTTGAATGGTATTATTATTGAAATAGCTATTTTTACGGTCAGCTACTCTATTTCTAAAGTTTTCTGTTGAGATTGATTGCATGACCCAGTTTGGACCTTTTCTTTCATAGTTTGCACTTGTAATATATGATTCGTAAAACCAGAGGTTTTCAGTACCTGGTAATCCTAATTTGAGCATTTGATTATGAAGATTAGAGTATGGAAGTGGTGAGCCATGGTTCTTTGGGAGTGATTTTATTTGGTCAAAGTTCATACCATTTACTTGATTGAAAATTTCGATAAAATAGTTGTTTAAATTCTTTGAGTCGTCGAGTTCATTTTCTAACCCTATTTTTTCTGTTGTGACTTTATTGTAAGCTTCTGCTTGTATTTCTCTATCGATTGTATTTAACATATTTGATTTCTTTATCATTACATTTTCGCTTAATAAATTTAATGAGTATGCTGAAGCACCAACTGTTGTTAAGCCTAAAAGTGATATTATAAACTTTGCTTTTTTATTCATAGTTTTATTATTAAATTAAATTTAAAAAAATAAAAGGTTTTTTAAAAAAAGGAAATGAAAATGAAAAAAATTAAAAACATTTTTTTTTTTTTTTTTAAAAAAATTAGTTTTTTTGGAAATTTTAAAATTATTGAAAACTTTGGATTCAAAACTAAACCACATATTTATTTTCTTTTATTAAAATAAGATAATAATAATGAATTAACAATAAATTCTAAATAAGTGACTTATTTAAATCATTTAAAATCATTATATCAATTTAGAAAACTATAATTATTTTTTACTTCACCCTTTTTTTAACTATTGTTATTTTTTATTTTTTTTGGGGGGATAAATAATTTAATTATTTGATGGTTAGTGAGTATATTTATTAAAAACTTTGAAATATCTTTTGGTCAATTATCTATTTATATACTATTTCTAAAAATAAACAATTGGGGTAAAATTCTTTTTATTTTTTTTTTTTTTTTTTATCTTAATATTATTATGTTGTGTGGTTGGGGTTAATGTAAAAAAAATGATGGAATAAAACTCATATATTTGTGTGTTTATCTGTGTTGTTTTTTATATTATATTTATTATTTGAACTAGTTACAGTAAATATTAAATATAATAAGAGTGGTAAAAGGGGTTAATTATTAAATTGTATTTTTAATTTCCCTATATATTTTTTTTTTTCATCATAGTGAATTAAAAAAGAAAGAAAAAGAAAAGATTTAACCAAATTTAGATACAATTTATTTATTATTAAATTAATATTATTTATATATTATATTACAATTAAAATGATTAATATAATGGTAATTTTTTTTTTTTAATTTTTTTTATATATTAAAATTAATTTTCTTTCTTTAATAATAAAAAAACAAAAAACTTATCAAATAAATATAATTAAATTTTAATTTTATAATTAAATAAAAATGTATAAAGTAATATATATTTATTTAATATTTTTTATATATTTTATATGTAATGCAAATGGTATAGTTTTAAAGGGTCATGTAAAACAATTTTCACCAATTTATAACTATGTTGGTAAATTTTGTTTTGAAAAAGAAGGAACAATTAATGTAAATGTAAATTGGGAAGAAAACCAAAGTACTAGTTTATATCTATTCTCTGATAATATTAAAAATGTTGTTCACGATTTAAAAAGATCTTCCTGTAGCAATGTAAGAATTTTATTTTTTTTTCACTATTTAATTGAAAATAGAATTAACTAAAGTTTAATTATAGGAAGTTGTTAACCCAGATTTTATCTTCAATTCTACGAGTGACTATAGTAAAAGCTATACAGTTGTTGGTCAAAGAGATAGATTTTGGTATATGTTCTTTGTAGACTGCACACCCAATATTGCTGTTCATCTAGACTATGAAATTACTCTTAAAAACAATGGAGATAGCTTCAATAGTATAATTTCAGCAGACCAACAATCTATTCCACAAACTCACTTTTTCTTTTTTGCTTTCTTTTGTTTACTAATGATTGTAACAGTTATATGGGTCCACTTTTACTATAAAAAGCATTACCATTTTAATGTTTTGTCCTATACTATGGCCCTTCTATCATTAACTGAAATATCAATTCTTATATATGGCATTAATTGGATATTTGTATCAAGAAATCAAAATTCGAATAAATATTTAATAGAGGTTGGTAATTGTAAGTAAAAAAAATATAAAAAAATATAAAAAAATTAAAAAAAATTAAATAATATTAATAATTTTTTATTTTATTTTATTTTAAAAATAGGGATTGGTATAATTGTAACCAATGCATTTTATTTATTTTTAATTTTAATTGGTAGTGGATGGTCGACTAGTGTTTATTTTCTATCAACCATTAACCTAAAGTGGCACTTTATTTTAATATTTATAAGTACTTGTATCAGCTTGGCAATGAGCAATATCAGCAACATTTACATATCAGATCTTGACAACTACATCTATTTCCTTGATACACTTCCAGGTTATATTGTCTTGCTACTTTATTTTACCATTACCACTTATTTTGTAACTAGTAACGTTGTTCACTATAGATTCCTAACCAAACCAGAAGATGAAATTAAAAGAAAGTTCATAAGATTGTTTACCCCACTTTTTGCCCTATATATGTTATCGCCAATATTTGTTGTAATCTGCTCACATTTTGTAGATCCATGGAATAGATATAAAACAATTGTGATTCTAAACCTCTGTATAAATGCTTTCTACTTTATGATAATACTTTTAATGTTCCGTCCATTCAAGAACCCACTATTGGAAATATTAGATATAATTATTGAATTAAAAGAAACAGATAAAGATATCGAAAATAAAAACAACAACAATAGCACAACCACAATAAGTATAAATAATAATAACGATACAACTCCACCGGTTAATAATAATATAGATGATGAAAATAATATTAATTTTTCATCAACACCTTTTGAAAAGGGTGAAAACAAAGGTAAAAAACATAAATATTCAAAAGAATTAAATTAATTAAAAAAAAAAAAAAATATAAATATAAAAAAAAAAAAAAAAAAAAAAAGATAAATAGATTTTAAGAAAAGATGTAAAAAAATAAATTAAATAAAAAAATAAAGATATAAAATTTATAGAAAAAAATAATAATAATATCAAATGATATCAAGTGTATACTATTTATAAGTTTTTAAAACTACAAATAAAAAGATAAACTAATCTTTTACTATATATATTCTGCATTTTTTGTACACATGCGGGGTAGTGGTAATGGTAGTGGTGTTGATGATGATGATGATTAATATTTTTTTCAATTTACTTTTTTTTTTTTTTTTTTTGTTAGAATAAAATCTTTTTAAAATAAATAAAAAATAATTAATAAAAAAGTATTTTATGCAAATCCTTCTCTACTAATATACAAAAAAAGAAAAAATGTAATTTTAAATTTACTATTTTTTTCTTTTGGTTTATTATAATTACTATAATTGTTAATTTATTATTTTTAGTACGATCATTGGTTTTTTTTTTTTTTTTTTATTTTTTTTTTTAGATAAATTCAATTATTGTAATTAGCTTATGATACATAATGTATGTGTGAATAAGAGAGTGTTAATGATTGGTGATAATCTACAGAGAAAAGATATTATTTAATTATTATTTCATCATTTTATTATTATTATTATTTATATTATCATAGGTTATTTCCTACCCCCTACTGTTATATGATTATTAATATTATTACTTAAAATATTTAAAAATCATTAACTAATTATACTTTTATTAAAATTTTTTAACTTTCAAATAATAATAAACACACATACACACTTACTCTCTTGGGTACATATACAAATAATAAAAATAATAATAGTTGAATATATAATAAAAAAACCAAATACCCCTACCACTCTAAGAAAAATAAAATAAAATTGAAAAAATGATAATACTACTATTATCAAAATAAGGAACAAAAACAAACAACACAATAACAACAAGCAGCTACTGACCGTGTCCCCACTAAATCAACACTTTGATAAAGAAAAAGAAGAATTCTTAATGAAAGTATAAGAAAAAGAGAACCATTATAAATGTATAGATATTATTTTTATACACTCTCTTTCTCTCACTCCCACTCCCACCCACACACACTCCCACACATATAAACTATTTATTTTATACAATAACTATTATACATTTTAAATTTTCTTTTATTGTGTGTATCTATTTTTATTTTTGTGCAATTTAGTTATTTAAAATTATTAATCTATAAAAGAAATAATTTTTATCTGTCTGTGTGAGTGAGAGAGTATAAGGTATTGTTTTCTTTGTATTAAAATAATAGTTTATGTGTGAGAATTTTTATTAAAACAAACTATTTTTATTAACGCAAATGTTCAATTTACAAATCTTTTGTGTGTATGTATGTATACATGTGTTTGTTTTTTATTCAATACCAAGTAATATTTCTAATTTAAAATAATGATTTTGATTTTGATATTTATTTTAATTATCTATTACATATGGGTAGTGGTTGTGGTGGTGTGGGTAACAAAAAATATTGATCAGTTTCTATAATTAATCAAAACTTTAGTTATAATAAAAAAATAAATTAATGAAAAAAAATAAAAATAAAAAATAACATATCAATATTATAAATGTCTTATATTATAAAAATAGAAATAACACACGAACAAAACGATATTTATGCTAATAGTCAACATATTTAATGTGTATATTAAGATAATAATATTGCGCACACACAAACACATACACATATACATCACACACGCACACACACACACACACAAATTCATAGATAAAAAAAATAGAATAGTATTGAATTTATTAATTATGTTATTACTTTATATATTTAGTTATAGAGTATTAGTTTAAATAAACAACATATAATGTCATTAGTTTACTTTTTTATAATATTATAATAACCTATTCTTTTTTTAGGATTAAAAAGTTAATTGATTATGGTGTAAACTAACTTTTTTTTTATGATTAAATAAATTATATAGAGTGGTTAAATAACAAATAATTAATTTTTTGTTATTAATACAACAACAACAAAAAACAACCACAATAACAACAACAAAAACAACAATAAAAAAATACTAACACACAAATTCAAAAAAAACAAACAAACAAACAAACAACAAATAAAATTTTATTATTTATTTATTTATTTATTTATTTAATTTAACTATTTATTTTAAATTTTTAATTAAATTTGGGAAAAGAGTATATGAGATCAATT